ATAAGACAAAGTCGTTTTGTATATTTACAAAGATTTCGTGACTTATGTAACTAGTTTATTGTTGATATGTAAGTATGCGAAAATTGAAACAGAGCGTTTAGTATTCATTCATACTCATCAGAGACAGTTGTGGGCCGAAAATTATGTGGATATTCATGGTGCGGTACAGGGAGATACACATACGGAAAATTTGGGACGTTTAGTTATATTGACTTCCAGCTTTACCGGGAGTCCGCGAAATGTGAATGAACGCGTTCAAGACCCATTTTGTTATATTCGCAAGTATGGTCGGCCATATCTATAATATGAAAATGAATCGCTGAATATGTTGCTAAGCGCAAATCTCGAGACCAGCTGAACCGATTTTGCTAATTCTTTTTTTATAATATTCCTTGAAGTACGAAGATGGTTCTTACAGAGAGAAAAATTTAAAAAATTGCCTGAAAAAGTCTAAAAATAACACTTTTTTTTCGTAATAATACTTAAAAGTCAATTTGAACTTTAATACCATACCATAAAGTTTAAGTGTTAGTGGAGGGGTTCCGGAAAGGCAAAACAATTGAGTGACGTTAGTATCGTATAAATATTAATGTCAATATTTGTCAATATTTATACACACTGGCAAATAGCTGATGTTATAAGGAGTAACTAGGGCTGCTTTTATTTTAGGGTTCCGCGAAAAATAACTCCACGCGGGCGAAGTCGTGGGGAACAGCTGGTCGTTTTATAACAATAACTAATATCCCTAAATGGATCGAGATTTCTCAAGAGCTGCTAGAAATTCAAGCATCGTACGATCGACACGATTTAATTAATCGAGTTTTTTCTTATTTAAAGCTTAAGTTGTTAAGTGACTTATTAACCACACAAAAGGTTTTTGGCGCTACGTCATGCTATACATAGTGGCAGGGGTCGCCTTGGTCTTGTTGCTCAGTTTGCCCCGAGCAGTTATTATGTTGAGCGGAATTTTGCCCCTCCTCCCCTCAGCCTGAGCACCCACGCTCAGGAGTGGAATAGCATGGTCATGGATGCTCATCGAGGGATTGTCTAGGGGTGCTGGAACCCTCCTGGGGTAGTTTATGATGTAATTCCACTACTATGTTGAAGGGGGGGGGGGGGGGGGGGGGGGGAATTGGTCCTCCGGTCACCTGCACTAACAAGACGAAACGCGGAAGCAGAGCTTCCACTTCACGTCGATATTCTGTGAGGTCGTGGTACTAACCCGGCTTGAGCTGGCCCATACGTGCAACAGCGAAAGCTGTTGCGTGGCTCTACCACCGTTAAAATTTTTTGTTTTTATATTCGACACTGGAACTTTTTAACTTTTTAATCTTTTATCTTCAAAATTGCGTATTATCTTGTAAAATTGAAACACTGACCTCCAAAATATCAGCCTATCTAATTATTTTACTATTTTTATCATTTCAACTTTGTGTGTCTTAATTCTCTATATTATTCTTATTACATAATTTAACATATATCACAGCCTATCAAAAGTCTGAGTATAGGGATATTTTCCATATTTGCGGTTGCAGTTTTTTTCTTATTTTGAGCTGTTGTCAGAATAATTCTGCTGCCACTCTTTTGTTTTATTTTTCTCTTTCTCTTTTTACGGCTCTCACGGGATAATAACATCCGATTGCAATATTTAATTAATTTTTGTTCCTCCTTTCCGTATCTTCAATTAGCTGTTCCAAACCACTATCGCGAAAACGGGGATTTAAAAAGATCTTAAAAGCGTGGACTCGCTCTACGTTTACAAAACCTCGCAAGATCTGTATGCAAAGTTTTGCTTATTCGAATGGGCTGGTAGTATGCTTGTGTCAATTCAACGTTCTCCAAATGTGTACGATGTTTTCTTCGTCTTATATTCATCAACAGTGGAACTTTTTAGCCAATCGAATTATATTACTATTATCAATTATCAAGTTTGATTAGTATTTTTATATCATAATTTACTATTTTATTCTTATTACGTCATTTAACGAAACTGTACAACCAGTGCGTGTTGCCAGTGATGACTTACGAATCTGAGACGTGGTTCTTCACTGCTGGCCGTATGAGGAAGCTCAAGGTCGCTCAGCGAGCTATGGAGAGGGCTATGCTCGGAGTTTCTCTGCGTGATAAATTTAGGAATGAGGATATCCGCAGAAGAACCAGAGTAACCGACATAACCCAACGGATTAGTAAGCTGAAGTGGCAGTGGGCCGGCCATATAGCTCGAAGAACCGACAACCGATGGGGAAGAAAGGTTCTTGAGTGGCAGCCTCGTACCGGTAGGCGAAGTGTAGGGCGACCCCCCACGAAATGACGACCTGATAAGACATGCAGGAAGTCGACGGATGCAGGTAGCTCAGGACCGTGCTTTGTGGTATTCCTTGGGGTAGGCCTATGTTCAGCAGTGGACTTGTGAAAGGCTGTGATGATGATGAATGATGACATCATTTAACATTCATCATAACCTCTCAAAAGTTCATGCATATGTATATTTGCAATCGTTGTAGCGCATGGCAGCCGCAGTTTTTTTAATTATCTTGAGTTGTTATCAGGGAGATGCTGCTGCACATCTCCTGTTTAATTTCTCTTTATCGCCTCATACGGCACTTATGAGTTGATAACATCAAATTGCATCAATCAATTGATATTTTCTACAGGTATAGAATTTTTTTATAGGATCGAGTAACAAACGAGCACACAGTCCACCTGATGGTAAGTGGTTGCTGTGGCCTATAGACATCTACATCTATCCTCGGTTTGCGAATTAAAATGCAGATGTGTTGTCACTCGTGAGGACTAAGACGGAATGCCTCTTATCCAGTAAAAAGGGTCTTCGGTTCTCTACACTCACCATACGAAAAACAGCAGTATCAAGCTGCTATTTTACGCTGGTTTTCTGTGAGAGCGTGGTACTTCCCCGGTCGAGCCGACCCATTCGTGCTACAACTATACTACTTATATAGCTGCAGCATGGCTCTACCACGTATAAAAAAATTATAAATAATAGATGCGTAAATTTTAAAATGATAAATTTTTAAGATACTAAAACTTTCTGAACACTATTTTCGATTGTTATTAAGTTTTCTCTATATCCTTACGAACTTTCGGACATCAAAATATACGTCGAATGCATAGTAGATTTGAAAGAATATTATATAAATAATACGTAAATTTTAATACTTAAAATTAAAAATAAGTAGTTATTCTTTTAAAATATAGTAAGATTCATTATTGATTGCGTTTACATAAAAATAATTCAACAAAACTATATTAATCGCGTTTACTAAGCACTACCATTAGTAGAAATTAAACAATTAATAAACTACATTAAAGATTATTCTTTTACGACTTAATTTTCAATAATTTTCGGTAGCTTTTGTTTTTGTTAAGCTGCTATTTTACGCTGGTTTTCTGTGAGAGCGTGGTCCTTCCCCGGTCGAGCCGACCCATTCGTACTACAACTATACTACTAATATAGCTGCAGCATGGCTCTATCGCGCGAAAAAAGTGGAGGTTCTTCTTCTCTATCTTCCAATAAGAATCGAAAAAGTGGAACTATAACGTATAACAGCCGAATATAACGGTTATGTAGATTACTACGCTCCGAAGCGTGTAATTCGAATTTTTCGAAAAAAAATAATTGATCGTTTTTTTAAACATAGCTCCTTCATTTGAGGTGATAGAATTTTTTTTCAGAAACGATTTTGTAGGGCTTTTTAGGAGCTATAATACTATGTGAATTAAATTACTTTAGATCCCTTAATTTTTAAATGGGGAGAGTGTAAAGCGCTTGAATAAGGTGATGTTCGATCGTAAATGTAGGTGTTAAACGGCTATATCTCGCCGAATATTCAATTTACTAAAAATCTGCGGACAGGAAAATTTTTGTCATTAATAAAGCTACAATTTAGTACAATATCGTTTCTTTCGTGTCGTTAGTATTTTGGGAGATATTTTTTAAGGAAAGGGTTAAAAACACGAAATAGAAGAAAATCGTTTTCCTTTTAAATTCCAATTTTTCTAAAATTAGGCATTTTAAATTGGTCAAACTTCGTGGGCGCATTAATAGTACATATATAAAGAGAATAAGAGAAGGTGTTTTCACAGATTTTTTTCGTAGAAAAAAGCGGGTTCCGATCTTATTTTATCATAAGTCGGTCAATTTTCATGCTAGTGACATTTTTTGTTTTTGTTTGGTAAGCACAAATTAAATACTTTAAAAAAGATTTTATAAGCTTTCTTCGAATAATGCAAATTTTTCTCGTTATTTCGCTTTAAATCTTCCAATTTACGCATTTGACGAAAAAAGCTAAGCATTAATTTGCTGTATCTCAGTTCGTATTTGTCGTAGAAAAATTATGAAAGAAGCTCTGTTTTTGTTTTTTTAAAAGCTACAATTTGGCTTTCCACACTTTTTTGATACAATGCATATTTTAGAGTTATTCGCAAAAAAACATGTGAAAAGAGTCAATTTTTTCGTCAAAAAACTGTTACTTTCAACTTTGAATAACTCAAAAAATATTAGTTTTACGAAAAAAAACGTAGGTATATAATATTTTTTTCTTAGAATTACTTTTTCCTTCGATTTCTATAGTTAAAATGTAATAAAAAAATTCCAATCCCGAGATGGGGTGGCAACCACCCAAGGCTCTAGGATACAGCGGCATGATATAGACAATGATCCTTGAGCTATTCCCTACCTTCTGTGAAAATTTCAAGTGAATCCATGGTAGACGAAAAAATTGCGAGCCAAAATGCTTCATTTCCTGGACTAACAATAACAATTGACCTTTTTCTTTCTTATTTGTTATTTTATTCTTTTGGAAAAGGGAAGATGTAGTAATCTTATTTGAACATAATTTACTATTATAATGTAATATGTAAAACAATAACTTGGCTGTAACTTATTTGCAGCTCATAAAATAGAACATTATTTTAGCTAGCCTATGGACTTGTTAAACTTAAAGACTTTTAGGTTATTAATATTAATAATGTTACACTACCTCTACTTCTAAATCCTTAACAAGGCGCCTGGCCTGGCTGTTAAAAACCCCCTGAAATCCATCCAACACCAGCTGACTAAATGCTGGGTTTAACAGCTTTCGATGACGCTTCCATATTGATACTGTGAAAACATATTTAACAAATGAAGTACACAACTTTTCACTGACTTAAAAAATGTAAATTATATATTTTTAACATAATATGGGTTAAAAACAAGCACAAATTCCACCTTATTGTAAGTGGATGCTGTGGCTCATAGACATCTAAATCTATTCTCGATTAAGAATCAAAATCCAGATGCGTTACCACCTCTGAGCCGTAAGGAGCTGTGTAGACAGCACAATTTTCAAATAAATATTATCTTTAAATAAAACTAATAATATCATCGTATAAATATATATTCAAATTAAAAAATACGTACCTTTTCCGGTTATCAAACCCTCTCCTAGCCACGGTTTAGCAAATTCGTATATAACGTCTTTTTGTATGCAAGCGTTAGCGACAGTCAAGCTGTCTTCGGGATCTGCTACCACTGGAAACGAATTAAGGGTAAAAATATTAAAATGCACAATATCTTATTATAAATATACAATACCATAAAATAAACATATACCGTATATTTTCCGAGGTCCAATTAACGTTGTTACTACACCACCCTCTCTTAAGGCAGTGTATGAAATTTCCTTCACAGTATTCCAAAGAACTGCGAAATAGAAAAAAATTTAGATTTAAAAGTAAAGAATCATACCTACCTTCCTAACGTTAACGTTTAATGGTCTTTAATCGGCCTATAATTAAGGTAAATGATGATCTGGACGCGTGTCGTCGTCACGTGTACACGTCGTGGTATACCTAGGTGGAAATTGAAACGTACGATCCTGGTGATTTTATCGGTACCACCAGTAACGGTTACCACCTTTCGTAAGTCCGTCATGGTTATGAAGAAGAATGCTGAGCGGGAGCGAAAGAGGACAGATCCCACTCGAAGACTACGTTCGCCAAGCCATACATCTCGGCTTTCATACTAATGACGGTGCTACGAAGGTGCTCAAACAGCAAATGCTGGTTTGAGATGAAAATTATAGCGAACGAGGGGCCACAATTGCGTTCCGAACGGAGATCCAGGTACCACTGCTATACGCTACCGGTAGCAGTGTTTGATAGAAATCCAGCATAGACTTTTGCTTGTCCCGTGAAAGGCATTCACGCCAATATCTGTACTTTACGAAATTCTCGATTAATGGTTAATTTTAAGTTCAATTATTGTATTCGTTTAAAGCACACTTTTTTTTTTCAAAAAATATGAAGGAACGTAAAATAACTTAAGACTTTTATGGGTACTTAAGCATTGGTGACCTCTCTGTAACTTTACTACTTTATGACAACAGCATGTCATTATATCACAGTTTAAATTATATTCTCTTTAAACTGCGATTATACGTCATCCGTATACCGTACCTATGCAACGACAATCTTGTAGCGAGGAAGTGCGCGCGATCTTTATGTGCGGGTGATGCGGAGTGCGGAAAAAGTTCTGCCCAGACACTCAAGGTCATTGGCGTGAGAAGAAGCCTTAATGAGTGCTTTAGATTTTATCGCGTCTAATTTACATAGGTATTTTTATATTCTGGATGTTCTGAGTGAATAAGTCAACACTTTTAAAATCAGTTACATTTATATAAGGTTATTAAATACTTACATCAAAGAATGTCGTTTTAATAATATTTTTCTAGAGCGAATCTCACATACAAAACTATGAAATTTCTGTTCAAGCGACGGATAGTAGATCTCATGGTGATGTCTCATTCTGAGACCGCCAATTGTACTACAAGATGTGGCGATAACAGCAAAGCCTATTATAGGATTAAATTACGAGTATGGATAGCAGTAAATATCTTTTAAACTCCAAAGCAGGAGATATTTTATTTTTCTATACAACTCGAAAATCAAACACACAGCCCACAATAGTTAGTGTAGGCTATGGCTCATAGACATCGATATTTATCATCGGCTAAGAATCCGAATGTCACCTTGTCGAATAACTCTTTTCCAGTAAAAATGGTATCTGGTTCCCATACTGGTATTTTTTATCAAGGAAAATGTTTATACTCACAAACAGTATCTCCCAACAGCTTATGTGCATGTCCAATAAGTGGCAATGCTCCTGGATGAGTTGGCGGTTCCAGTTTAGATTTTGTGTTACGATACCACCATGTCCAATACAACGCGAACATTATACAAAATAAAGCTGAAGTCATCATCTCGATCAAATCTACAATATTAGTTATTATATGAACATTGATTTGAATATTTGACTTCATGAGGAATCCTGCATGTAAGAGAAAAAAACATGCGTGAGTGTTGTTGAACACTCGGTTCATACGAAGTTCCTTTCAGACATAAGAGTTATCTGTTTCCTAAACGTAGTAGGACAAACTGTTTAAGCAGTCGAAGTAAATGTCAACATTGCATTGGTGAAATACACTATTGTATTAGGTATTTATGAAATTTTCGTTATTTATGAAATAAATTAAAGTAATTTTCTAAATTTTTATTTCTATTAATTAAAGTAATCATCCGTGCAATCAATGCATCTTTGTCAACGCAGGGAAGAGCGATTAACCAAAGCTGGTTGGACACGTGTTACAGTACACATCTGCAGTAATGCTTATCCTTTTGGTAACAAGCTGTGATGAATCCCTCCGGTGCTAGACTACCAAACAGAGCATCACTTTTCTAGGTATTTAGGGCATTGTTTAGGTGCTGAACCAGGATCCAACCAACTTGCTAAACGCTTGGAATTGTCAAACATAATCCATGTTTCGTCGCAGATAATAATGCGGTTAAAATTCCTTCGTTTGTGTGCTTATTTATTAGTGCAAGGCATGTCTCTGGGCACGAGTTTCTGGACCACCCATTTGTCAAGCTTTTTTACCTTGCCAATTTGACGTAAATGGTCCAATATTTTTTTGATACTAAGGTCGTAATTTTGCTACTAACTCAGCCGTAGAATGAGTACCATCAGCTTCCACAATTGCCTTTAATTCGTCATTGTCGACCAAAGTTTTTGGACGATTTCGGGCTTTATTTTCAGGTCAAAATTTTCAAAACGAAAGCGGGCAAACCAACAACAGGTAGTGTGTTCGTTTGTAGTATTCGCTCCGTAAACATCGTTGATGTTGCGCGCCGGTACTTATATTTCATAATTACTCGAATTTTTAACGTATCCATGTTGACGAAAAAGATTCAAATGCAAAATAACTAAACAAATGACTAATTTGTAAAAAAGAATTCAATGTTTTTAAATAAAATTAACTTGGAACTAGAATTCTTAGTCAAACAAAAATTTTTTTGATTGACTAAGATTTAGCAATTTTATAGGTAGAAACCTATTGTTTTTACAAAACAAACTAATAGTTCGCGTTTTCTATTACTGTTTTTGAGGAATTTCTGTGAAAGGGATCATATCGTTCTAACTAAAAGTCAAAAATCAGTGCAAAGTCTTTAAAAGAATAATAAATATTAAATTAGAAACATTTTTTTAAGTAACTATGTGAAAAATTAAACAACTTACCGTTTAACGAAGTTTTCTCGAAGGTGACTAAGTACATGAATGATGTTTTATTTTTCTACATGCTTAATATATATATATTTTTTTTCATTTTTATCTTTTAGATCTTTAAACAATTAATTAACAACGATTTCATTTTCACTGCTCAACTTCACACTAAGCTATTTAAATATACGTGAGAAGTAAACCTTAATTAGTTACCATTGTTAATGGTCGACAATAGTACAAGTGTTACATAATAATAAAACTATTTTGCAGGGTTTATTTATTATACCTTCCAGTTTGTTTCGCGGAAAAATTTCACGTGGTCTCAGGTAACTGCCTGAGGTTGCTCTGTGATAATTTGCTTCATAGGAATCTCTCACCAGGATGACTTAATTGTATGATGTGTAATGTCTGTGATAAATAATAAAAGATTTATTGTTCTGTTAAACTTGTACTATTATTTGAAACGTGATGTCCCACAACATCTGTGTGAGTGGTGTTTATAGTTTCTGGGGACCACGTCACGACGCAATGTGATGAAATTGAATGAAATTATTTTTGACAAAAGTATTTTTTCCGTATTCCCACTTGTGTACAATACAAGATAATTGACAAAAGTTTAATCACACATCTTCTACTCTGTAATAATTTAACTGTAATTAACAGAATAAGGCGTTACTTTGGGGAAATCCATTATATTTAGGGTGTCAAAAATGGGAGGTGCTCTTCAAACTAGGTGAATCACACCATGTTTTTTATCACGTTGAACTGAGCAAATACATTTAACCCCTTTAATAATTTTACTAATTTGAAACATTTGGCTCAAAATGTATTGCAAGATTAGCTTATGAGGGTCCTGATTTACCAATACCACATCTTTTGAAAATATCAATTGTTTAACTCAATCTATTTTTAATCTCTTCATCTATCATGTGGGAAGGCACTGAATAAAAATGGCAGTGTAATTTTTTTTCTTTAGCTATAATTAACTTTTTTTGGCTCCAAAATGGTGAAATTTTCGTTGATTTGGTAGCCTTGTATGTAAATTATTTCTGTACTAGGGAGAGAGAGCCACAGAGTACTTTAATCACTCACTCAGCTCAGCGTCAGTCGCCGTCGTGAGTGGATACTGTTTCGGATGTTTGCAGCGGCTTTAAAAGATCGCTGTACAAATACACAATATTCGAATAACCAAATTTCTTAAATACATGATTATAATAATAATAAGAAATATCTTTATTACAATATTTTAAAAGCAGAGAATAAATAATAGTAGTACGTACTAAAAGTAAGTAGTATCAATTTTTTTGTCAATTTTCATGGTTTTCGAGGGTGCTGAAGCCGATAGTGCTATCAAAATGTAAATCCAAGGTGGCGGCTGAATTAGGTACCAATTTTTGCATCATGGGTGTCATTTTCATGGTTTTCGAGGGTATTGAAGCCGATAGTGCTGTCGAAATGTAAGTCCAAGATGGCGGCTGCAATAGATATCAATTTTTTCATCTTGGGTGTCATTTTCATGGTTTTCGAGGGTGTTGAAGCCGATAGTGCTGTCGAAATATAAATCAAAGGTAGCGGCTGCAATATGTATCAATTTATTCATCATGGGTGTCTTTTTATTGGTTTTTGAGAAAGTTGAAGCCGATAGTGCTGTCGAAATGTAAGTCCAAGATGGCGGCTGCAATAGATATCAATTTTTTCATCCTGGGTGTCATGTTCATGGTTTTCGAGGGTGTTGAAGCCGATAGTGCTGTCGAAATGTAAATCCAAGATGGGGGCTGCAATAGGTATCAAGTTTTTCATCATGGGTGTCATTTTCATGAGTTTCGAGGGTGTTGAAGCCGATATTGCTGTCGAAATGTAAATCCAAGATGGCGGCTGATGTAGATACCAATTTTTTTATCATGGGTGTCATTTTCATTGTTTTCGGGGGTGTTGAACCCGATCGTGCTGTCGAAATGTATTTAAACTACTTTAAAAAATTCCGTATAATCATGTTATACGTAATTTTTAATGCACTTAGATATACCAATTTTAAAACTATTATGTATGTATTTCTAAATACGATCTAAATGTTTACTACTTAATTCAATATGTACAAATAACCTAACGCATTAAAGCGATGCTAGTCCCGTGACTACACATAAAAGTTTACATTTGTTTTTATTAATATTAGTTATTCCGTCAGTATGTAAGTAACATAAAAACCAATTATGAAGGCAAATATGTAGGAAAGAAAAACAAAAGCCACCGTTTTGCATTAAATTTGTATTACATTATCTGTTTTGTACTTGTCTAAGATGATGTTACGATTATCTTTGTGAGAAACATACACAGTAAGCAAAAAAGAATAATATTCTTTTTTGCTTACTGTATATATTTCTCATGTGTTTTAAATATAAGAACATTGTTTTACATAATTTTATTCCGATTTCTGAGATTATATCAACATGAAATTGATGATTCAATGCTACAATTGAAAAACTTCAAAATAATAATCATGACTATTGATAGTAATAATTTTTACGTGGTAGAGCCATGCTGCAGCTATATTAGTAGTATAGTTGTAGCATGAATGGGTCGGCTCGACCGGGGAAGGACCACGCTCTCACAGAATACCAGCGTCAAATAGCAGCTTCATGCTGCTGTGTTTCGTATGGTGAGTGTAGAGAACCGGAGACCCTTTTTACTGGAAAAGAGGCATTCCATCTTAGTCCTCACGGGTGACAACGCATCTGCATTTTGATTCGCAAACGAATATGAATGTAGATGTCTATGGGCCACAGCAACCACTTACCATCAGGTGGACTGTGTGCTCGTTTGTCACCCTATTCTATAAAAAAAACTGATTTTAATAACGAAGTGTCTATTCACACGATAATCGGATGTTTATTTTTTTCTTATTTATAAGATTATTGCATGATTTATTTATTTTTATACGTCCAAAATATTAAATAAATGGTGACCGCTGGTCCTATGTTTCCGGGTTCGAATCCCGAGCTAGGCCAAAGTAGTTACTGGGTTTTTCTATCAAGAAGTTCTAAGTAGTATCCCAGAGCTAGAAAGTTGCCATGTCCATGTCTGGCTGTGGACTTAACATATATTCTTTGCTATGCGGGTGACAGCCCTGCCCAAGCAGCACACAAGCGTTATGAACATCAATATAGTAGCCCATATAGAACTTAGAGTTATTTCACACATGGCCACAGCATATGCCCATCTATCGAATCTGATGTACTGGCTGGGGCCATCCAATATATGACCACAAACAGCAGACTTTTCTTGTGGACATTGGAACGTCGAACACCTCGGTTCTCCTTGTGACCATGGGTACTGTAAAGTGCTTGAAACGTCGGGAATATGCAATAAGTTAATATACGCGATAGAATCCAAATACGTGAAAACTAGTTTTATTTTAATGTGTAGTGTTCGTGTAAACGTAAGAAATCCTTATAGTTTACGGTCTTCTGCTAGCTCTTTTATCGCCATGCACAATCTGACGATTCTGTAAAAGATAAGGTCTACGTGCGGTAATTGCAGATGCCGCAAAATTTTTATGATTCCGAAGACGATAATCAGTCTATATCTTACTTCTTGCCTCCTATCTATTCCAATAAAAAAAGTAAATAAAATAGATTCACCAGATCAGATTTAGCAGAGATGAAGAATTACAATAATTGAAAACGGTTTGGTAGATCAGAAAAC